AAGACAACAGATTTTCTTGTGCAATGATAGTCCCTTATAAGGGGGTCCTCTTTTGGATCTCTAGACACATGGTCCTCAAGTCCCCAAACAGGGATAGGAGTTGCTATGATATTTCTCTTTCAATCCTGCTCAGATAGTCCTTTTCCTTCTTTACAAGTGACGGGGGTACTCTCTAGTATAGTCTGTTCTCACCAGGCATCCAAATCACACCTTACACCTTCCCAGGGAGACAGTTTCCTTCTCTGAGACAAGGTCCTCTGCACAGAGAAGTCTCCCACCTGACTGTGGTCAGCTATGGCAGGGTTTTGTTCAGCCAGCAATGCAGTCTCTCTGTACAGCCAGCAGTCCAGTTTCTCTGTTAAGACAGCAGTCCAGTCTTTTCTCACCCCGTCTCCTTTAAGACTGTGCTCTCTCTTCCTCTCAGCAGCCTGCAGACCCCCTCCCCTTGCTTTTTTGCAGCAGCCAATCACCGTTCTTCCAGGACCCAGCAAAGATGGATGCCCCCTGCACTGGAGGCACTCCATAGACGAGCATTGAAAAGGGGTCTACTTAAAGATGGCTGCTGCACTTCTGCATTACTGAATATTCAGTTTAAATCTGTCCACACTGCAGAAGGATATTACAGCAGCAACAAAGAAAAATGTTCCACAGCAGTAATCACCTACAGTCCAGGCTGCATGCATACTTTAGATTTTGTATAATAGGCTCAGTTTCAGTTGCTTATGTTTTTGTCATGTTTGATTGTAAGCTCATGTGTTTATTTTATATTATTATTATAAATAATAATAATAATAATAATAATATTGTATTGTAACTGTACTGTCTCTCTTTATTTTGAAAAGTGATGGGCAAACTGTTGGAGTTATACAAATCTCATATTATAATAATAATAATAGTCTATGACATCACCATTGACAAGCACTGTTCTCTGTTTTCTGCACTGTTATGCAGAAAGATTTTGGTACTGGAAGAAAACAACTCTTCTCAGTCTGTAGCTGATCACATGCTCTGGTCTCCTAGACTTCACACAGAGTATATTGAAAAAACTACTGTTTGTGGGATTTCAAAGGCACAAAAAAAACCAATAACATCATAAAAAAATGTGCAGCCAACGGTTATATACCATCTTCTCCGACCTGACCCACACCATCAGAGAAATGTCCTATTCTATTAGGATTTTGACGATAATAAACTACCATTCAACACTGAGCAGGATCTGCTATTTTTCTATCCCCGCTCCATTCAAGTTTACATTTGGGATTGGGCATCCTTTGTGGTCATGCCTTGGGGGCTGTGGAGGGATCCCTCTTGGAGGAAAGTGGGACGGCATCTGTTTCTTACTTTCCCATTCTCATCTCTTCACTCATGGGATGATTTTGGAGATATTGGCCACATCCATTTCACTAATGGTTTTAGTCTATTGGCGGTTGTTTCATGTTCTCTGCCCCTTTGTGGGACCATGTGTCTATGCCTTCCAAGCACTTCTGAAGAAGAGATTAATGTCCGTTTCGAAAAGCGTCAAGTGCAAATGCATGTATGATTTATCTTCATCCATGTACCTGCTGTGACAGTTATGTCCTATGTCACTGCCATACTTTATATCTATATGTCCTCTTAACATTTGTACAAATAAAATATGGTTTATTACATCTTTGTTTTTTTATGATGTTATTGGTTTTTTTGTGCCTTTAAAATCCCACAAAAAGAGGGTTTTTACATATATATTGTTACAGGGATGACGGCACCTCTTGTAATTACACCCATTGCTTTTCTAGACTTCACACAGATGTACTCAGGGCTGGTTCACACTGCATTCGCATTGATGAGTGGTTTTGATGCATTCAGGTACGTTTTTTATGCATTCTGGTGCATATTTGCCAATCCAGGGAATTTGATTTTGCATTTACATCTGGCTCAGTGTATCTGCTATGCGTTTTGCTGCGTTCCGTACAGAAAAAAATGCAGCATGTTCCACTTTTGTTGACTGCAGTGGTGTGAATTAGGGCCATTGGAAAACACAGTGCATGCGTTTTTGATGCAGACTGCATCTGGTGTGAACCAGCCCTGACAGCAGACCTTTACTAAAAAGTGAACATACCGCTGATGTGCCTCTACTCCCCCTCCTCTACCATATTTGGAAAGGTTTTTTTGGGGGGAGGGTTACCCACTCCCATTACCACAATTCTCACCTAGGTGAGAATTACAGAAGATTGGCCTGCCCTCCTTCTCCACCCCTCTTAGGACACATCACGTGTCCCAGGAGGCAGTGGGACCAATCGAACAAAACAGCGCAATCTTGTGCGTGCGTATTGGGAAGATGGCTGTGGAGCACCAGGAAGTCACAGCTAGCTCCTACAGCCAAGATGGCGGTGCAGTGGATCCAAAGTCCAGCAAAGAACCAGCCCAGGTGAGGACAGCACTGGTCTCCTGGACTGGAGAGTATCTGTTTATTAAGAGGCAGCAAATACAGTATTTGTCGTTGCTGACTTTTTTTTTTTTTTAATGTATATACAGTGGGGATCGAAAGTTTGGGCACCCCAGCTAAAAATTTGTATTAATGTGCATAAAGAAGCCAAGGAAAGATGGAAAAATCTCCAAAAGGCATCAAATTACAGATTAGACATTCTTATAATATGTCAACAAAAGTTAGATTTTATTTCCATCATTTACACTTTCAAAATAACAGAAAACAAAAAAATGGCGTCTGCAAAAGTTTGGGCACCCTGCAGAATTTATAGCATGCACTGCCCCCTTTGCAAAGCTGAGACCTGCCAGTGTCATGGATTGTTCTCAATCATCGTCTGGGAAGACCAGATGATGTCAATCTCAAAGGTTTTATATGCCCAAACTCATCTGACCTTGCCCCAACAATCAGCACCATGGGTTCTTCTAAGCAGTTGTCTAGAAAACTGAAACTGAAAATAGTTGACGCTCACAAAGCTGGAGAAGGCTATAAGAAGATAGCAAAGCATTTTCAGATGTCAATATCCTCTGTTCGGAATGGCAGTCATAAGGAACAGTGGAAGTTAAAGCAAGATCTGGAAGACCAAGAAAAATATCAGACAGAACAGCTCGCAGGATTGTGAGAAAAGCAATGCAAAACCCACGTTTGACTGCACGATCCCTCCAGAAAGATCTGGCAGACACTGGAGTTGTGGTACACTATTCCACTATAAAGAGATACTTGTACAAATATGGTCTTCATGGAAGAGTCATCAGAAGAAAACCTCTTCTACGTCCTCACCACAAAAATCATCGTTTGAACTTTGCAAATGAACATATAGACAAACCTTATGCATTTTGGAAACAAGTTCTGTGGACCGATGAGGTTAAAATTGAACTTTTTGGCCGGAATGAGCAAAGGTACGTTTGGAGAAGAAGGGGCACAGAATTTAATGAAAAGACCCTCTGTCCAACTGTTATGCATGGGGTTGGATCAATCATGCTTTGGGGTTGTGTTGCAGTCAGTGGCACAGGGAACATCTCACGAGTAGAAGGAAAAATGGATTCAATAAAATTTCAGCAAATTTTGGATGGTAACTTGATGCCATCTGTGAAAAAGCTGAAGTTAAAGAGAGAATGGCTTCTACAAATGGATAATGATCCTAAACACACCTCGAAATCCACGGGGGATTACATCAAGAGGCGTAAACTGAAGGTTTTGCCATGGCCTTCACAATCTCCTGATCTCAACATAATTGAAAATCTATGGATAGACCTCAAAAGAGCAGTGTGTGACAGACAGCCCAGAAATCTCAAAGAACTGGAAGATTTTTGTAAGGAAGAATGGGCAAAGATACCTCAAACAAGAATTGAAAGACTCTTGGCTGGCTACAAAAAGCGTTTACAAGCTGTGATACTTGCCAAAGAGGGCAGTTCAAGATATTAACTCTGCAGGGTTCCCAAACTTTTGCAGACGCCATTTTTTTGTTTTCTGTTATTTTGAAAGTGTAAATGATGGAAATAAAATCTAACTTTTGTTGACATATTATAAGAATGTCTAATCTGTAATTTGATGCCTTTTGGAGATTTTTCCATCTTTCCTTGGCATCTTTATGCACATTAATACAAATTTTTAGCTGGGGTGCCCAAACTTTCGATCTCCACTGTATAGCCTTTTTTTTGTCTTTTTTTTCTTAGTAGGGAATTGTTAGATCCCCTTCCAGGTATATTCATCCTCTATATTTGTCCCAATAACCATATTCCCCAAGGCAGAAAGCAAGAGAAATTCAACATTTCAGAGCTGTCAGCAGAACAAGAGGTGGGGGGAAGGAAATCTTCCAATTAGCACACTTTCTTTGGGGGCAAATGTCTAAGAAGAGAATTCTCCTTGCAGAGATTTTGTCTCACTTCCTGTTGTGTCTCCAGGACAGGTAATAAAGGCAACTTTTCCAATGGGCACACAGGAAGCAACTAATAAGCTGACAGGTGTTCTAAGCCCTCCATACCCTTTCCAAAAATTAAATAAAACAATTGGCTATACTTCCATTTTTGACTTGCCCTTCAAATTATTTACCCCCTTCCTGACCAGGCCATTTTTTGTGATACGGCGCTGAATTACTTTAACTGACAATTTGGGGTTTATTTACTAAAGCTGGAAAACCAATCAGCTTCTAACCTCAGCTTGTTCAATGAAGCTTTGGCAATGAAACCTGGAAGCTGATTGGTTTCTATGCAGAAGGGAGTCTGATTTTGGACTCCCCAGCTTTAGTAAATAAACCCCTTTATGTCATTTTTTCCCCCCACAAATAGAGCTTTCTTTTGGTGGTATTTGATCACTTGTGCGTTTTTTTTATTTTTTGCGCTAAATTTAAAAAGTAAAATTTCTTCATAAATTTAGGCCAAAATGAAAATGTATTTTGTTACATGTCTTTACTAAAAACAAATTCCAGTACGTGTAAATTCATTGGTTTACGTGAAAGTTATATCGTCTAAAAAATGGCAATATATATACTGAAATTTTTATTTTTTTTATACTAGTAATGGCGGTGATCAGTGACTTATAGCGAGACTGCGGCAGACATTCTGTTACTGGATGGGAACTGACTAACTGTTACTGATATCCCCAGTGACACTAATACAGTGATTAGTGCTAATAAAAAGCACTGACACTGTACTAATGACACTGGGCAGGAAGGGGTTAACATCTGGGGCGATCAAAGAGTTAACTGTGTGCTGTGTGTGTTTTATGTTGTGTGCTATTTTACTTGGGAGACATGCTGCTTTGTATCGCTCTGTAGTGCAGAGAGATACAAAGCAGCATGTTCATGCTGACAGGAGAGAGACCTGTGTTGTTTACACACAGGTCTCTCCCCTGCCAGCTTTGTCGATGATCGCCGAGTGCCGGCCAGGACCTGGTGATTAACATCCCCAGCAGCCAATAGCGGCGCGAGTTCCTGCCTGTAAATGCAAATCACGTATATATACATGTTTTTTCGCAGCCGTGCCGCCCTGTAGCAGTGCTTCTGCTATACGGCGGAGGGCAAGGAAGAAAACAATTTTTTTTTCCTGTAACGATTGGTGCATTTTATGTGAGCCGATCAACAATGCCATTACACTAGTTCTAAGTGTTGTTGGACCAGCCATACCAAATCAAGTTAACAGAGAAATGTGCCAATTTCTATTGCTTGCAGATAGCATGCACCAAAATAACCAAGTAAATGTTTTAAACTTAAAATTGTTGTATAATGTACACCAGGGCTTGAAAAAGCCGCTCTCCCGCTCGCCAAATGCGAGGAGAAATTCCTGTGCAGCGAGCACAGATGATGGATGGAGCGGCTGCACCTGCGCTCCAAGCCTCATTGTGAAGCCGAATTCCGGTTTCCAACTTCTGGTTTCTGGCTTCTTCGGTACCGCCATTACACTGGCAGTGCCACTGAGGGGACAGGTGCAGGAGAGGTCTGCTCTCCTCCGCTGAGAGGAGACACCCTCTCAACCGCCGCGGGGGACTCCAGGAGAGGTCCGCTCTCCACCGCCGCAGGGGACACAAGGAGAGGCCCGCTCTCCCACCGCCTTGGGGGACCTTGAAGTATTTTTGGGTATGGTCTGTGGAAATTTTGTTCAGTTTATGTATGGTTATTTGTATATTCTTTGTGTACGGTTAAAGGTCCATCCTCTACTCCTACAGTTTTTATAAAGTTTAACCCTTTATTAAACACCCTATTGTACATGTTGTATAGCTTTTAGTAGTACCTGAAAACTTGCATAGTGCTTTCTCTTGGTGTCTGTACTCAATACGGTAATAATAATATGCCACATTAGCCATGGATAGTAGAAAGGATGTGAAAATGTAAGCAACACCTTTTTGCTAGCTAACCTAATATACTTTTTAAGCTTTTTAGAATACCGAGTTGTCTTCACCAGACATGGTGTCATACCTTCACACATCAGTGACATGAACATGCACATAGTATATGCAACAAATGGTCACCAGGGGATACCTCTGGTAGTCTGCCAGGATTCGGTGACAATTGTCCTATGTCTATGGATAGACCTTACATCCAGTTATTAACACGTTGTGTCCTTTTTTAATACTTTAATGGCAGAAAATGTGTTATGTGAATTTCAAATATAATAACAGAGATTCTGTGAATACACTTTACACGTTTTTCATAGGTTTCATAAATTAGGTTCTAGGCTCAGTCTGGCCTCTTATCCACTATGAGACTTGATTATGTAAACCAGCTTTCTATTAGACTCTATTCTAAAGAAAAATGTAATTTCATAAGCTTTAAGGGGGCGTGGTTGGGGGCAGGGCTGGGGGCAGGTCCGGGGTGGGGTTGGAGGCGGACCTGGGCAAGGTTTGGTGGGGCAACTGGTGGAGTGTAAGGTTCGTGCCTGGCTAGTAGGTCAGGAATCGAAATTTTAAGCCCTGATGTACACCATTACTACAGTGGAGTGAATTGTAGTGGGGGGGGGGGATAAGCAATAGTAGAGGAGGGAGAGGAGAATTGGATGTGTATGGACAGACATCACACAACAAATGAACGAACAGTCATGCAACGCTTTTATTTACTTTTTGTGCAAAGCACTAAATAAGCGTGCATATAGTAACTGACACATTTTTTCTTCATGCGCCAATCTTTAAAGTCTTTATAAGGAGTGAAAAAGCAGCATAGAGAATTCCTAGCAGAAGCAGGAAATCACATTTACTCGCTTTTCTCCTTTTTTTTTTACACCAGTTTGGCTAAATTGAGGTTTATGAGAAGCAAACATGGCTGCATGCCATCTGATCACTCTCCAGCTCACACACTATTGGCTTCCTTCTGGGTGATGAATCATTTTTCTCTTTAAATCCCATCTCCAGCCAACTTTTTAACATTAGTTTTGGATAGAGTGGTTAATATTTCTGTAGGGTTTTTATCTTTGTCTTTGACCCCCATTGGGCCACTTTAAACAATTGAAGGAAATGTCCTCTTTTATGGTCTCCATCCAGACCCTCCTTGAGAAGCAAGAACATACAGGTGAAACTCGAAAAATTAGAATATCGTGCAAAAGTTCATTTATTTCAGTAATGCAACTTAAAAGGTGAAACTTATATATGAGATAGACTCATTACATGCAAAGCAAGATAGTTCAAGCCGTGATTTGTCAGAATTGTGATGATTATGGCTTACAGCTCATGAAAACCCCAAATCCACAATCTCAGAAAATTAGAATATTGTGAAAAGGTGCAATATTCTCGGCTCAAAGTGTCCCACTCTAATCAGCTAATTAAGCCATAACACCTGCAAAGGGTTCCTGAGCCTTTAAATGGTCTCTCAGTCTGGTTCAGTAGGAATCACAATCATGGGAAAGACTGCTGACCTGACAGTTGTGCAGGAAACCATCATTGACACTCTCCATAAGGAGGGAAAGCCTCAAAAAAGGTAATTGCAAAAGAAGTTGGATGTTCCCAAAGTGCTGTATCAAAGCACATTAATAGAAAGTTGTGTGGAAGAAAAAGGTGCACAAGCAGCAGGGATGACCGTAGCCTGGAGAGGATTGTCAGGTAAAGGCCATTCAAAAGTGTTGGGGACTTTCACAAGGAGTGGACTGAGGCTGGAGTCAGTGCATCAAGAGCCACCACACACAGACGGGTCCTGGACATGGGCTTCAGATGTTGTATTCCTCTTGTCAAGCCGCTCCTGAACAACAAACAACGTCAGAAGCGTCTTACCTGGGCTAAAGAAAAACAGACCTGGTCTGTTGCTCAGTGGTCCAAAGTCCTCTTTTCTGATGAGAGCAACTTTTGCATCTCATTTGGAAACCAAGGACCCAGAGTATGGAGGAAGAATGGAGAGGCACACACTGCAAGATGCTTGAAGTCCAGTGTGAAGTTTCCACAGTCTGTGTTGATTTGGGGAGTCATGTCATCTGCTGGTGTTGGTCCACTGTGCTTCATTAAGTCCAGGGTCAATGCTGCCGTCTACCAGGAGATTTTGGAGCATTTCATGCTTCCTTCCGCAGACGAGCTTTATGGGGATGCTGACTTCATTTTCCAGCAGGACTTGGCACCTGCCCACACTGTCAAAAGCACCAAAACCTGGTTCAATGACCTTGGGATTACTGTGCTTGATTGGCCAGCAAACTTGCCTGACCTGAACCCCATAGAGAATCTATGGGGCATTGCCAAGGGAAAGATGAGAGACATGAGACCGAACAATGCAGAAGAGCTGAAGGCCGCTATTGAAGCATCCTGGTCTTCCATAACACCTCAGCAGTGCCACAGGCTGATAACTTCCATGCTACGCCGCATTGAGGCAGTAATTGCTGCAAAAGGGGCCCAAACCAAATACTGAGTACATCTGCATGCTTATACTTTTCAGAGGTCCGATATTGTTCTATGTACACTCCTTGTTTACAACCCAATGGGCATAACATAGAATTAGATCTAAATTGCTTCATAGACAATAGCTAGAACCTCTCAACTCGCATTTGCAGATGAGTTTGAAAACACGTTCTACATAGTTCTCACTATATGTCTCAATATATAATATTTTTGATACATTTTGTCTGAGCCATACGTCTTTATACGTTTTTTATGTCGAATTGACAAATTTTTATATACATCTTATGATGTTTAAAATTCGATGTTATCTCACATCGAAATTCATGTATCGAGCAGCTTTATACAAATATATCCTATGATGGTTAAGAGCTTGGATGTTCTTTTACATCGAATTCTATTTATATTGATCTTCTTTTTACATCGAATTTATTCATATTGATTTTTTAATATCGATCGTTTCATATCGAATTTGGTTTTATCATGGTTTTATATTCCATGTTTCTCGTCATCACAATTTTAGGGAATATTCTTAATGAAATATTTTAACATCTGGTGCATATGTTTACTTGAGTTTTTATCATATATATATTGACTTTGTACTTTTGTGTATTTTTACTGACCGCAATATTTTATATATTGTATTGTATTTTTACTGACCGTATGTTGCGCATTATTAATCATTTCAGTGTTTTAAGATGATTGCTATTTATGTTTTATTTTTATTGATATACAGTTTGCGCAGAACTAGACATCCATAATATTGATGTCAAACCACGGGTATATTAATTTCATGATGAAGTGTTCATCTAAGTAAGTTTGTTCCTGTATATTTACACATATGTTATATGTGACTATGATATATAGTTTATGCATATGTGTAAAAGGGTGGGCATGGCATATTGTATATATGCATATGACTGGTTAAGATACTTATATAGGGGTATATAAGGTTTCTTATATAGGTATCTCTTTGACCATTTCCCCCCCTTCTTTCAGCCATTTGTTGCCCACCATTTCCAGTTCTATGAAGAACAATTATCCTGTGGTTTATATACCAAAACCTTTTTGCCATAAATGGATCTGCTGCTAATCTAACAAAGCAGTGTACTATTTGCCTTTTCCCTCCAACAAAATGGCGGCGCTATGCTTCTATTTTGAGACACAAGAGGGACATTGCTAACAATCGCGATCCACGGCAAAATGGCGCCGGCGTACGGCGTATGCGCCGGTCGCCGGCAAAATGGCGGGTGCGCAACAAGCGCGATTGCCATTAAAAATTATAAATAGCAGCAAGAGGATGTCCCTGCTGTAAGCCCTGACTCTTTGAGAACGTTCGCATAGCACGAAAGGCATCAGGGGGGCTACAGCACCTGGACATCTTACCCTATGATTGCGGTCAGTACCATATCTTATCTTGTGTTACTTCTGGAATAAAGTATTTTTGCAGTATCACGCTATGTGATGTCCCTTATTGGGCTCTATATGAGCACCACCCTTTCACAGTATCAAGGTTAAGGAGGGACTCCAGAGATGTATGAGAGCCTAATGTACCATGGAACCTGACCAGGATGGATGACCAGTGA